GAACTCAACCCCATAGAAAATCTGTGGAGGGAGTTGAAAGTCCGTGTTGCTCGGCGACAGCCCCAAAACATCACTGCTCTCGAGAAGATCTGCATGGAGGAATGGGCCAAAATACCAGCTACTGTGTGTGCAAACCTGGTAAAGACCTATAGTAATCGTTTGACCTCTGTTATTGCCAACAAAGGTTATGTTACAAAGTATTGAGTTGAATTTTTGTTATTGACCAAATACTTATTTTCCACCCTGATTTACAAATAAATTCTTTAAAAATCCTGCCATGTGAATTCATGGAACTTTTTTCACATTCTGTCTCTCACAGTTGAAGTGTACCTATGATGTAAATTACTGACCTCTGTCATCATTTTAAGTGGGAGAACTTGCACAATCGGTGGCTGACTAAATACTTTTTTGCCCCACTGTATATATCATCTTCTGGTATTCAGCATTGATCTGTTTCTCCTGCAGGAACAAGCCCCCAGGACAGCCCTAGAAACTTCTCTCCTAGTGCCTCTGCTCACTTCTCTTTTGCACGAAGGTAACCTGACCAGATTCATTTACTTTTTTCTTCATTATATACAGAGTTATAAGGGTTTGTTGTGACCTTTGCTGACATATTTCGACTTTTCACTGCCGCCTTCGTCGGAGCAACCGCCAGATGTTGGTGGTGTCACTTCCTTTTATGAGCAGAGTTTTAAAAGGAAGCCAAACTCTGAACAACATTAAGCACATCAACCTTTTCTGTGCTTGTCTGATCGTTCATATTTGATGGGCTCAACAACAGCAAAAACAGTTGTTTGGTTGTGTTTCAATTGATGATGTAATTCTATATTTTTATTATGATCCACAGTCATTGCCACAGAGCAGACAGGTAACTTTGAGTTGGACTTTTACTTGACCCCAAACAGTCATCAACCCCATATTTAAAATATCATGAGTTTGTGCCACTCTGCATCTTTTCACCTGGAGGTTTAGCTCTATTGTTCATCGCCATTCATTTAATTTAATTTCATTGGATGTGTGCAGTCACTAAAACAACTAGACTATGTTCATGTAGGCATGCGTGCTTGTTCAGGTTGTAGAAGTTTTCTCTCATGGGAGCATCTTCACAGCCGTGATGTTGGAGACGAAACAAACATGAGCTCCTTTTCACTCATTTTATGGGCCATTCCCATCTGTACCGGGTCGGCCCGGGCCGGGTAGCATAGGTTGTTTACATATCTGGGTGGCCTGGTATTTTTCCGGGCCAACCAAGGCTCATTCTCAGCCCTCTTCTCGAGGGGGTCTGCTTCAGGCCGACCAGGGCCAACACACCCACTGCTGACAGCAAATTCACACCTTCCATTAGAGCAAGCCTCTGATTGGTGGGTAGAATCAGCCCACATGGACTTAAGGCAAGGATGTGTGGAATCAACCGGGCCAGGCTGGGGCCAACTGGGGCTACCCGGCTTCGGCCGACCCGGTACAGATGGGAATGGCACATTAGAGTTTTCTGTCTGATTCGTCGGGTCATTGGTCTGTGTGTTTTTTGTGACAGGACTGATGGCCGTCGATGGTCGTTGGCTTCTCTCCCTTCTTCTGGATATGGAACCAACACACCCAGCTCCACCGTCTCTGTAAGCACCTCCCTCTGAGAAAACATCAGCATCCTAACTGAAAACACGCGTGTTAGTGCTAAATGTTGTCCGTTACACAACGTTCTGTCCTGGGGGCCATTTAGATCCCCGCTTAGATTTCCAGAATTGAGGACTTTTGTCTCTCCGGTGTGTAGCAGATTATTTTTTTCATTTAAATCATTATTTCACATTTATACACACAAAATAGCATTTTGGCATTTTATTTTTGGAACTCCTGCCGCATTTATTCAAACGATATTTGATTAAAATATAGTTCATATTCATCTCCTTTTCAAAAACCACTTTCTGGTCCTGATGCAACTTTATGGCAGGGACCCCCATCTCCTTCTCCAAGGGCCGGTATTTGGCGCTTTTTACTGTTTTCCCTGCTTCAGCACCCCAGACTTTAATCAGCAGGTGATTAACAGGCATCTGCAGAGCCTGCATCAGGTGTGTTGGATTAGGGAAACCACTAAAACATGCTGGATACCGGTGAAGGGAGTTGGGGATCACTGCTTCATGGGTCTAGTAAAGTTTAGATTAAGTTGTGATCTCTTTGCAAGAATTCTAGAAGAAAAATAGTTTAATAGGTGTTGAACAGACGTGTGTAAAACCAGCATGATTCATCCTGTCGGATCTATAAAGGTCAGGTTGTGTTGTTACAAAACTCAGACACAACCTTATGTCAGGGTTTAATAGAATACAGAGACAGATTCATCTAATGTAGGTAAATTAAGTTTAAATAAACTTAAACTGAATGATGGTTGGTACAGACATCATTTCAGAGATGAGATTTGATGGTTTTATTTTGTAAAGATGACCACGAGCTCCTTCACTGCACCAAGAGGAGCCCAAAATAATAATAAAAAAACATTTAAAGCTATATTTACAGCAAAAAAAAAATACACTGGGCAAAAGGCAGCATTTGTTTTTTTACGTTCCTTTTTTTTAAATCATGCATAAAAACTTTTTTTTTTCCTTTTCATGTTGAATGTATATTTGTTTCATTTCCAGTCATCCTGTTCATCACAGGAGAAGCTGCACCAGCTGCCCTTCCAGCCTACGCCCGACGAACTGCACTTCCTCTCCAAGCACTTCTGCACCGAGAGCATCTCTGGGGACGAATGCCGCAGAGCGACGGCCATGCGACCCCGCTCACGCAGTCTCAGGTAAACAAACCCCTCTAAGTGGTCCCATTAAATAATCTGCAGAGTTCATGGCTTTTATTTGTGATTTTTATATTTTCTTTCTCAGTCCTGGAAGATCTCCTTTGTGTTTTGATAATGAAATCATCATGATGAATCACGTCTACAAGGAGCGCTTTCCCAGAGTAAGAACCACCGAGGAGTGAGCTAGCTCTGCTGCTGCTGGCCTGTGACAGTCCTGTGTTCTACCATGAACTCCTTATTGCAGGCCACCGCTCAGATGGAGGAGAAGATCCAGGAAATCATCCGCAGCAGCTCTCCAGAGAGCGTCCTCCCCTTTGCCGACGGGGTGCTCGGCTTTGTCCACCACCAGATCATCGAACTGGCCCGGGACTGTCTGGAGAAGAGCCGCCTGGGTCTCATCACCTGCAGTTACTTCTGCGAATTCACCGACAAGCTGGAGCGGCTCGTTCAAGAGGTGAGAGCCTCTCTCTAAAACGCATTTTAGAGGAGACTTCTCAGGAACGTTCTGAAGTGCTCATTCTCTCTCTCATCGTTGATGCAATGGTTGAACGTGGCTGAGGTCCTCTCCTGTCTCTCTGATTCCTTGTTCAGTCTACAGAGAGGTCTGAAAGTGAGGAGGTGAACTTCATCCGAGTGCTGGTGAAGAAGCTCCTCATCGTGATCGCTCGGCCTGCCCGGCTACTGGAGTGTCTGGTAGGTTTCATAACACCGACGCACATCTGAATCCCAGGTTGTGAGTTAAACTCCCCATACTTTAAATCTTATTTTACATTTCCGTAAACTTTGCTAAAGAAAGGAGTATTATTAGGGGTTTAATCATTCATAACTTTGCATGGCTTCACAATATAGTTCAAATACATAAACAAGAAATTTAAGGACCCAGTGTGTGAAAACATTCCGCTACAGCAGCTACGGTAGCCCACCTGCATCAAAAAGGTAATATGTCAGAAACGGCTTTCAGCTTTAGTCCAGCGGTCAGGTCCGTTCTTTTAATTATTTAGTTCTTTTTTTATTAACAGATTTTTTTCAGTAACTATTCTTAGTTAATATCTTGACTATTTAATCTGTTTTTTAAAGGGAAGAAATTATGCAAAACTCCCCTTATGAGTCTTTTCTGCTTCTGTAAAAACTCCAAACATGAATAAAACTGTCTGTTTTCTCAAAGTTTGTTTTTAGGAGTTATGTGCTTAAAAAAGATGTTTCAAAAACTCTCTTATTGTGATGTCACAGTGAGAGAATTTAGCATAGAACCCCCCCCCCCACACACACACACACACACACACACACACATACACACACACACGCACACAAGCATATACCGCCACCCCTTCAGGCTGGAGATACAACTGCTCTACCCCAAGCCCCTCCCAACTTCCAAACTCTTTGTCTCATAGCAGCCAATCGGGCGATGGGTGGGCGTGGCCAGCTACAGCTCATTTGCAATTAATATAGAGCCCTCAAATGGCTCATTCTGGAAGGTACTGAAAATGTTGCGATCGCTCTGTGAGAGGGAATTTATGAAGAATATTCATGATTTGTATCGACCACAGAAAATATTTGAACTTGGCAACAAATCATAATATGTCCCCTTTAAGAGCAAAGCAGACCTGGAGAGCTCAACATTGTTTTCCTCTTTGTGCGATAAGCTGGCGGAGTTGGAACCTGATGTTGGTTTCTTTCTTTGCTGTAAAGCTTGGTACCAAATCCTAAAGTGGGTCTCTTTGTTTCCAGGAATTTGACCCAGAGGAGTTCTACCACCTTCTGGAGGCGGCTGAAGGACACGCTAAAGAGGGTCAGGGCATCAAATCAGACATCCCGCGTTACATCATCAGCCAGCTTGGACTCACCCGGGATCCCCTGGAAGGTACGAGAAATGCTCATCATCATCTTCATCACTGCTGCTAAAATGAAGCTAGAAAAATGTTTCAGATAATTTTCTTCACTTCCTTTGTTCTCTTATGCTGCTGAGTTGAGTTATAGCAAACCCCAAAAGGCTGAAGTCCCATGAACAGACCGGGTTTCTAATGACACACACACACACACGCACGCACGCACGCACGCACGCACACACACACACACACACACACACACACACACACACCTCTAGAATCAGCAACATTCATTATGACTCATTAGAAGTAAATAGCCTCCCCACAGACGCGTCCACACAGGCTGTCTCCCGTCACGCAGCCCCTCCAGACTTTTCTCATTTTGTCTTTGTGCCTCCAGCAGACCTCTGAAGAGGGACAGATGTTAAATAGCACTAAAAATGTGTTTACAAGTTCTCCTGGGAGAAAACACATGGACGTCAACATTGTACACAAATGAAACGTACAAGATGCTTCTAAGGTTGCTTCTAACGAGTGCGTGCTCTGGAGTGGTGATTTTCAGAATGAATGTGTGAGGCATGCAAATGAGGATTCTCACTCCATTTAATCTCGCTTCAGGTTATGGCGGCGTCAGCAGCTCGAAGCTAATCGTCCAGCAGAGTCTGGTGTTTTTGTTTTGGTTAAACCTGCTGATTTAGCAGCGTCTTGTTTTTAAAAAGCTGCACAGACGTATCTGCAGATCTCGCATTTAGCTATTCTAGACCTTCAGTAACCATCTGCATCTGGTCTTTGTCTTTTTCTTGTCTTACATGAATAGAAATAGCTCGATTAAAAAGTTCTGACAGTGGGATTGCAGAAACCCCAGAAACAGATGACTCGGTAAGTTCCCAGATGCGTGTTTTATTAATCATGACTGTATATAATACAGATTTGTGAAGTATTTGTGTGCTCCTCAGTCTCAGAGCCTCAGCACGGCCTTGCGATCCCGGAGGAAACCCTGTGAATTAGACTTTGAGATGATAAAACTCATCAGTAATGGAGCCTATGGGTAAGAGCGTGGTAGAACAATGAAGGTTGCATCATCATAAAGGATTTTTGAACAGATTATAACAGCCCAAACTAAAAAGAAGCTGCTCTTTGGTTGTCCCAGCTGACTAAGCAGACCGTTTGTTTCACAGAGCTGTTTACTTAGTTCGACACAAGGAAACCAAGCAGCGGTTTGCTATGAAGAAGATCAACAAACAGAACCTGATGCTGAGGAATCAGATCCAGCAGGCCTTCGTGGAGAGGGACATCCTGACGTTTGCTGAGAACCCATTTGTGGTGTCCATGTACTGCTCCTTTGAGACGCGCCGGCACCTGTGCATGGTGATGGAGTACGTTGAAGGTCAGGCCGTGTTCGTTTGAGCCGTCTGGACAACGCCTTCCTTGTTCTCCCTGAAGCACATCATTAATGCCGCTTCATTGATTTTTTTTTCCAGGAGGAGACTGCGCCACCCTTTTAAAGAACATGGGTCCACTGCCCGTGGACATGGCGAGGATGTATTTTGCGGAGACCGTTCTAGCTCTGGAGTATCTTCACAACTACGGCGTCGTTCACAGGGATCTGAAACCTGACAAGTGAGCTAGAATCTTTCATCATGACCGCAGATTCTGTAGTAGTTCTGCTGCTGTCGTCGGTCTAACTGTTGGTCCTCTTCTCAGCCTGCTGGTGACCTCCATGGGACACATCAAGCTGACGGATTTTGGTCTGTCTAAAGTCGGACTGATGAACATGACCACTAACCTTTATGAGGGACACATAGAGAAAGATGCCAGGGAGTTTTCTGATAAGCAGGTAAATGTCTCTGTGCAGTGTGAAGACTTGTTTTCCACAGAACTCAGAGCCTGGGTGTATTCTGTCTGCTTATTTATGCGTAGGTTTGCGGAACCCCGGAGTACATCGCTCCTGAGGTGATCCTGAGACAAGGCCACGGGAAGCCGGTGGACTGGTGGGCCATGGGTATCATCCTCTACGAGTTCCTGGTGGGATGTGTGCCTTTCTTTGGAGACACACCAGAAGAGCTGTTCGGACAGGTCATAAGTGGTAAGCAGGGGTGCAAATTAATATTTTTCTCTAGCAGACACAGTGGCTTTAAATGATGATCCGCTGCACCCATAATTCAGTCTAAGACAACTGACAGGAGCTTTGATGAATTTTCTTCTATAATGAATTAACACCGCCAGCATCAAAAAGCTGTGGTCCAGTAGTTTCCACGCACTCCGCGCTCATCCGCTAAACTCTTGTTGGTTTGACCGTATTTGCATGCTGGTGTCGGGTTTATGTCTCTAAGTACCTCTGTGCTCGAGTTTAGCCTCTGAGCAACGGTCGTAGCGCTGCCAAAACTAGCTGCTGCTCGTTCTACTGAAGGATGGAGGATTCAGAGCAGCTTTAGACTTTTAAACAAATGTTTCTGTTCTAAAAGCATTCATAAATCTCTCAGCTTTCGTATGTTGTGACATTTATAAGATATAAACAAATTACAGGTCAGTATGCCACATAGAAAATCTTACTGGTCATGTTTTTGATGCTAGAAGTGGTTTGGCTGAAGTTCTCTCAGCATCTGTTGTTTTGATGCCATCGAAGCGTCGAGAGAATGTCCCAGACCCGGTTGATGTTCGCATATTCCAAATGAGACGTGAATGAACCATTTCTATAGTGACCAAATGGATTCGTCGGTTTACTGAGGGATTGAGGTTTCCCAGGGGGCTGTTGGAGAGACAGATGGCAGCTACTCGGCTGGCTTTAGCTCGCATCAGGACCACAAAGTGAAGTCTAAATTTTGGGTTGATGTTTTGCTGTTGCTCTGTTGTTTTATGGTGACAGCGCAGAGAGACTCTGGAAAACTGGAGGCTTCATCGTGTCAGCAGCTGATTCATTGTTGGTATACGTGGAGCTGTCGGCTAACGGCTTCCATGCGTGACATGGAAATGAGTGGTACGCCATAATGGATTTGGTTTGCTCTCAATCAAAGCACACCAAGGCTCTGAGAGCAACTGTTAATTAGCGGGGCTTGGAAACGCACTGAATACGTGCCGCTGTGGCCTCTGGACGCACATCCATATTCATAGTCTGAGTCCAGATTTGATAAACATGGAGGAGGGGGTGAATGGGGCTTACTGCTTAGAACTGACAATCAGCACGACACAAGGAGGGCTTTGAACTCATATTCTGGGCTCAAACGTGAGGCTGTCTGAGAATCAGAGCTCATGTAAATGTTCTCCTTACCTGTCCTCGCGCTCGGTGGTAACACACACTCAGGTTTACTGCTGGGGAGTTCTGAAAGCAGCTCTCACAACTTTAAAAAGACGTTTGGAGCGACCGTTTAGTCACACGGATAGTTTGGATTTTGGCTTCTGGGCTTTTCTTTTTTAAATATTTGATGGCCTGTGGTAAAATATGTTCATCAATAATAATTATTTAACCACCGATTGAGAAGAAGACGTTTTAATATTATTGTCTTTTTTTTTTGTCACTTTTATTTGTCCAGAGTTTTAAAAATAATTCTGGGGAAAACGTGAATGCAATCTCAGAATTCATATTTAGACAATTTTGTAAAAAAAAAAGGTTAAATATGTATTTTTAATACACGTATGGATCATGATTGGCCCTCGACTTGGACCAAGATTTAGGGTTTAACACCCCTATTGACAAACGGCATATTTTCGGCCTCTTTTATAAGACACACCATGCCGGCAAATCGGCGTAATATTACCGCAATGGTATGTCTACAAACGCGCCATGCCGGCGTGGCGTTGTGCGAATTTTAAGGCATTCGTTCCGCCTCTCTTGGTAGTAATATTGCGGTGATGGTCTGTCGTATGCGCCCTGGTGCAACAGCGGCAGATGTCATGATGACGTGGAGAGTTATTGCTGGCAATAAGGTTTGCTTTTTGAACAAAATCAGCTGAGATGGCAAACTGGAGCGCCGCAGCGCTCCACGAGCCTCTCTGTTAGAGCTGAAGCTCAGATCACCAGAGACTGCACAGGGACTGATGGGGACAGACACCTTTAGGAGCTGCTTGTTAAAAAAATGTAACGATAACGGCTTCAATCGCAATAAAAAGCAAGTCATGTCCAAGATAAACGGAAGTCTGCGGCAGCGCAGAGACCGCCCCCATACCCCCTTTATGTCGCCATCACCTAATCTTTTATAAAATTGCCACGATTGCGCCACATTACCTTCTCTCTCTCTCTCTCTCTCTCTCTCTCTCTGTCTCTCTCTCTCTCTCTCTCTCTCTCTCTCTCTGTCTCTCTCTCTCTCTCTGTCTCTCTGTCTCTCTCTCTGTCTCTCTGTCTCTCTCTGTCTCTCTGTCTCTCTGTCTCTCTCTCTCTCTCTGTTGCTGTGCGAGCGAGCAAAGCGCGCCGCGTGACAACCCGCTCAATTAACATAATTCACGGCCCAAATCCAACAGAACCGGTCGGGCTGATTCGGTTCCGGTTCGGTCTCAGGTTACAACTCTAGCGCTCAGCCCTGCAGTACCACATTAAGGCGGAACCACTTGGTAAATGTGGAGGACGCTCACTCTGACAGATTTGGATGCTGTGCTGGTGCTGCCGTTAAAAAAACAAAACTACATTCCACTATAATCGATTATGACGTACTCTTCTACGATGCAGAATCGTTTATGTCTGCATCGCGATGCATCGATTATTTGATTATTTTCCTCAGCTCTACTGTTTGAACCCCCCAGCAGCTGCTCACACAAAAACTTGTATATTTATTTTCGAGTGATGTCTGAAGTTTTCCTCTTTAGAGAAACAAAAGCAGTGTTTTGATTTTTAAAATGACTGTTTCCAGATGAGATCAACTGGCCAGAAGGAGAGGATGCCCCCCCTCCCGATGCTCAGGAGCTCATCACGCTGCTGCTGAGACAGAATCCTCTGGAAAGGCTGGGAACAGGTGAGAACATAAAGGAGAAACTGGAGCAGCCAGAGAGCTTCTGAGAACTGTAAAAGGGGGCCACCTCAGCCGTTCTCATCCCTCAGGAGAGCAGCTTATTCTGTGGTTTACTGACCTCCTACATTTGATCAATTTCTATTATTACCCTGTAGTTTATGAATGTAATTGCATGGGCGATCAGCCCCTGTGTGAACCTGACGCTGAAAGCTTTTTTCACCCTGAAACGGTCTGATCAATGTGAGGACAGCTGGACCTTCTTGTTATTCTATGCTGCCATTCCTGAATGGCTGTCGCTATTTCTGTCAAGGTCACATGCAGGGTGTTCTCCTACACAACTTGTGATCATTTTCTCCTTTTGGCCTGACGCCAGAGAAGGAAGAAAAAGGAAATGCTGCTGAAGCAAATCCTCATCAGTGAACGTGTGTTCTTTATATCTGATACATGAATCTGACTTTACTCCGCCGGCAGGTGGAGCTGCTGAAGTCAAACAGCATCAGTTTTTCCACAACCTGGACTGGAACGGCCTGCTGAGGCAGAAGGCAGAGTTCATCCCTCAGCTGGAGTCTGAAGACGACACCAGCTACTTCGACAGTGAGTTGTGGTTTAGCGGCAAAGGAAATGTAGAACGATGCTTCAGTTAACTCATTCGCTGCCAGCTGTTTCCTGATCGGTAAAGGCCTTCGCTGTCAAGAGTTTCTCACCATTTTTACTGTTATTTTTTAAGAGTCACAGAACGTTGCACACTAGGATGATGTCGACGCCAAAACATCCAAAACTAAGCGGAGACTCACCTCTTACATCAGGAAGAATCCGCGCATTTCGAGCTTTATCCGTTCTTTCATAATCTGTTGTTGAATTGTGATCAGCAGAAGCTTTTCGGTTCGCACCTCACTTTTTTTTACAGCAGCGACCCAAAATTATCTCCTAACATGTGTCAGACACAAGGCCCGCGGAGCATTTTTATGTGGCCCGCGAGATAAATATCAAAAATATATTAAAACTGACCCGCTGGCCGATTTTACCACAAAGACTACAACTCCCATGATGCTTTGCGGCGTTAGCGCGGAACCGAAGCGCCCCCTCCTTTGTGTTTTTTCCAGCGTCTGCTGCCGGTGTCTGCAGCGCCGCTGTCTCGGACAAACTAAACACTCCTCTCACTCAGCGCCGAGTTTACTTAGCTATTTGCCGACGTTGAAGCCCAGAAACGGAGATTTTAACCGCTCAGTAATGTGTTCACGACTGAAAGAGAAAGTTTTCCAACTAACTTCCACACAGAGCTGAAATAACTCCAGCGAACAGCGACACGCTCAAATCAGCATGACTCTGTGGCTGCTGTCGTTGTTATTTTTCCTCCCCGCCACACAACAACATGGTCAAGCTGCTCAGATGCTCTCCATGTTCACCATCACAAACATATGTGAGCACCTGTTGTCATCTAATGTTGTCGTTATTATGATGAAGATGAACAAAACAACAGGAGTCTCCTCCTCAGCTCAGATCAACCCCATGATGCAGGTATCTGGCTGGAACAGGTGAGCATCACAGTAAACCAGTGGAGCAAACTGAGCTTTAAATATGTTGGTTTTATGCTCTTCTTCTGCTCCAAAATGTGAAAGTTAATAGGTGAGATATTGCATTTTCATTTAAGATAAAATGATATTTTTATTTTGTTGTTGGCCCGTGAGAAAAGATTTAACCTACAGTAAACAGGAAGTGGAAAGGCTGCAGATAGATGGATAGAATAGAAAATCCCTTTATTGTTCCTCAGTGGGGAAAGCTAGATGTCACAGCAGCGATGACACGTATTACAGGAGAATAAAAAATAAGATAAATGAATAAACAAGAAAACATAAATCCTGAATAGATTTAAAAAATGCTGAATATATCACAAGTAATGGATACCACTGATGTGTTTTATTTAAAATTGACTTGCTCGTGTGTAATTTGGTTATTCCACATTCAGTGTTAATGCAAAAATAAGTTTGTTTCCGAACTAAAAGGTTCAAAATTGCATATTTTGCCGTCACTTTTTCAAAAAATATTAAGTTTGGCCCGCGACTTAGCCCAGATTTTCATTTCGGCCCAGTGTGAATTAGTTTGACACCCCTGTCCTAACACATGGATTTTCTGCTTCCTGATCATGTGACGTGTGACGTATGCAGATGAAGATCGGCTTTAGAGCTGAGATGTTTGTTTTTACGGTACGGGGGCTTGTGCCGATGCCCACACAGTAAAAAAATGCAAATGACGACTTTAGTCGCCATTGGCAGTGAACGGTTGGATTTAAAATGACAACTATAGTCGTCAATGGCAGTGAATGAGTTAAGTTTTGGTTGTTTTAGTCTTAAGTAATGTCTATTGTAAACACTCCAAACAGGAAAACGCCATCCATCCACTTTTCTGGCGGTGCTTGATTTAGGAATTACGTGACTAAAATGACAAATTTCAAAAATTGCCCGATTGTGATGTCACAAAAAGGATAGTTTGAATAAACACCCCCCTTCCATTTTTGCTGACTGAACAGTAGCTCTACTCTGAGCCTCTCTCATGTCTGAGCTGTTCGGCCCAATCCCAGTACTCACACTGTGCCCTATGGTCTTCTGTGAAGTGCACTTGGAGGAAGTGTGCGGTAAGGCAATAAATCAAAAATTCTTTATCAAAATTTCTGACTCTTATCTATAGATATGTGTATGTTGGCAACATTCATGTCCCTTTAAGAAGCTGTACCACCTTGAGTCACATAAAAATGTGACTCAACGTAATACATGTGACAGCGCCATCTAGTGGTCATCTTTTGTTTCTGTGCATATCTGTAGTTATCGTCCATTTATCGTTATCGAGGGGAAATCCTCAATATATTGTGATATTGATTTTAGGCCATATCACCCAGCCCTAGTGTGCAGCAAAGCTTTGAGTGTGTAGTACACAAGTGTGCAAATAATTGCC